CTGGTTGTTTTCCCAACACCTTCACTTTCCCCTTTGCTTTCAAGTGATACGTCGTCCTCTTATTCCCTCTTATGGGTTGCCAACTCTACAGCCATGTCATCGGAATCGGGTGCCAACCTGATCCTTATATACAAACTTCTCTAATTTCTATGTATTGTAAATGTTCCTTCATTCAAAACACATGCAAAGTGTTCGATAAAGTTGGCCCCTGAATGAACTTTACTATTTCTTATAATGATATGATATCGGGGTACATCTACAACTCTAAAATCTTAAATGCACTCGAGTTCTTTTGCCGAATGGGGAAAGAGGAGTTGAAGCTTGTAGCAAGAGCTGAGAGTTGGAGAGGGATCGAAAGGAAAAAAAGGGAGAAGATGGTTCAGCTTAAGGGACACAAGCGAGGCATGCATAGGCTTTCATTCATTTAACAGCTTATAAAAAAACAAATATAGCAGTCTTCCGTGAGAGCATACAGTGTATGCAGTGATGTTTCATTAACCCCTTTACCCCTACTTTACCTCGCTCAGACTCACACTATACTTCATTTTTCTGAATTTGGCATCTTGAATGGTTCCTTCCACTAATCTCAGTTTAAATTCATACTCATGAATGATGAATCCCTAGACTCTTAATTTATCTCAAGAAAAACACAATTTGTTGGGTTCACTTTGGTGATGATGGTCTGTTTGCTGTGGCAATCAGGGCTTGTATGCTTACTTCTTTAGTTTTCCCTATCTCTGATAGTGGACAAGAGGGGGATAGTGATTCCGCTATTGACAAAACTAATACTAGGTTCGCTGTGATGGGGATTCTTAGCTTCATTCCTTATTTTAATTGGCTAGTAATCTGCATTTTCTGTTCTTTCATCTTTTGGGGAATATACAATTTGATTATTGAAAGTTTAGCTCTTAACCCTTGAATTGTTAGATTTTTATTTAATTGCTATCCACATCTTGAGTGAGATTGGGATGTGATTTGGTCAAGTGAAGAAGGAACAAACATGTATTTCATCAGAGCTTTTTTTCTTTAAATGTAAATTGAGGACTTTCATTCAAAATATGAACAAACGTATATTTTTACATGTTAATACATAGGTGACTTTAATATGAAATTTTGTATCCATGACATTCTCTAACTATTGTTTGAGACATAAGAATTTTTATATCTTATTTACCTATTCAATTACATTGGTTTTCTGAGAGTTGGTCAATAAATTGCATGTTAATTTTTATAGCTTAATTGGTGAATTTTTCTCTTCTTGTGCAGAGACATTCTCGAGTTGAATTTTTATATTCATATTTCTCTACATGTGCAATTTAATGTATAAAACTTTAAATTATCATTTTTAGAGTTCATTTGTAGAGTGAAATATAATAATTTTTAGATGACAGACAGTAAAACATGGATATTCTTAAATAATCAATATCACAAGAGAAATTTAAAATCTCTATAAGCATTTTGAAATGATCATCTACCATATAAATCAATAAGATTTTACAAGTATGAAGGTCCAACTTATATATATTAAAAATGAGTTCCAATGGCTCACCATTAAAATTAACTCTTTTTTTTATAATTTAAATTAATAAAATATTTAAGTCTCATGTGAAATTTTAAAAATCTTCATAGAGAATTAAATTAAGTGTATTATCATGTGGGATAATAAATCTTCACAGATATCATGTTTCTCAATTTATATGGTAAATAAATAAATAAATTTTGTAAATAAAATAATAAATATTTTTTAATAAAATTAATTAATTAAATTAAGGTATTAAAGATTTTGATTATATGAGATTTTTAAATATCTATAGACCTCTAGAATAATTATCTTACCGTGTAAGTCAATAAGATTTTGCAAGTATAACGATTAAGGTTTCTATACTTAAAAATGTATGTTGTATAATTACACATTAAAATATATTCAATATATATTATTTAATCCTTTCATTATGTGAGGATTTTAAATCTTCATAGATATTTAGGATAATTATATTATATTACCATAAAAGTCAATAAGGCTTTGCATGTATGATAATTAAAAGTCTTTAAAAATATATATATATATATATATATATGTATGAACACACTTAAAAATATAAGTAAAATAAATTAAGTTGTTAAAACTTTTTATTGTGTAAGATTTCAGAATCTCCACAAATATTTGGAATAATTGTATTATTGTATGAGCTAATAAAGTTTTACAGGTATAGCGGTTAAATTTTTAATCATAAAATATATAAATAATAATAATAATAATTTTAAACTCTTTTCTTTTCTTTATTTTAAAAATTCAAAAATAAAAAAAATAATTAAAATTAAAATACTTTTTACAATTTAAAACACACATATCAAAATTTTAAAAAATTATTTTATTTATAAAATGGTGAATTATTTTTAATTAATTTCTCTTCAAAAATATTTTCACCAACAACTTATAATCCCAAACTATGTGAATTTTAATTTCCATCATAGGGTTCGTAGGTCTCAGAGTCTAATTTTGAGTCAAGTCCTCCTTTATAAATAAATAAATATTTCTCACTTAATTATTATCATTTTTTATATATCAAACATATGAATAAGAAAAGGATAATTAAAAAAACTTTAGAACCATATTAATGTAGCATAATAAATTTTAGGTAATCGTTTTTATGAATGAGTGTTGTGTGGTGTCTAACATCTTTCCCACACTCAATCGACTCTCAAACTTATTTTTTAATTTCACAAACTATCCTCACCTCCTTTAAATAGTTTCTCAAGATTTTTCTTAAAATTTTGATGACGATTCCCATTTCGTCAATTTTCGCTCTGAAGGCCGAAACATCTACTCTCACGTGTAGTCTACATTGCATTTTTCGGGTGCGACAAACACATATTCAACTGACAAAACTTGTACTGCTAAATCTGGTCATTCTTTTCTTTCTGTAGGTATGGAGAACAACTGAAGCCAAATTTGGAGGAACATTTGGAGATTAAATATCCTAGAGAAGATAAAAGCTCTATTTTGACAATTGGCACATGAAAAAGTGCATACAATTGATTTGCATCTGAAAGGAGAGTTGGCTACTTCGAGCCCTTGCCACCTTTAAACATAACAATGTAAAGGATTCTATGCATCTTTTTTGTGACTATCAACATGATGAGATGGTAGAAGGAGTATATCCGACAAGATTTGGTTGATAAATTCTTTGAGTTAGACAGATGTCAATGGATAAATTGGAATATGAATAAGCAAGTCAGTCGAGTCTTTGCCAAAGTTGTCCCCTAGAATATTTTATTTGCTCACATTTGCTAGCATTTGGAAGAATAGGTGTATTGCTCTTTTTCAATAGAGTAGTGAATGCAAGGTTGCTAAATTCGTGATAAGAATATAAACTTGAAATATAAACTCGTAAGAGTTGACCTCTATTAATAAATATTCTTTAAAAGTACATGATTAAATAATTAAAATATAAAGTATGACAATAGTTTAATTTAAATATATTTTAAGTATAAATTATTAAAATTAAATTTATTTGCATTTATAGATCATTATGCTCAATATATAAATTTCAAAATATAAGAACTTATTTTTGGTATTTTTTATTTTTTATTAATATTAATTTTTGGTTTTAAAATTTTATTTTTCATTGAACCAAATTCCACTATTTCCATGAATTAAGTTTTACATAGTTTATATCTATCTTATTCAACGAGTTTATGAGCAAATTAACACGATTTTATAAATTAGAAATGTAAAAACAATAAACTCAAAAAGTTAACTTAAAAGTTTAATCAAGTTTCATATAGTCCAAGTTTATAAGCAAGTTAATACAATTTTATAAGTTATAAATATAAAAATGATAAACTCGTAAAGTTAACTCAAAAGTTTTATGACAATGAGTGAATGTGTGGTTGAAAAACTATCAAGCTTTATTTACAAAGTGACTGTTGATTTAAAGTTAGGACAGCAAATAAGTAAAGCTACTACACAACGATATGTAAAGAATACAAGTAGGATACTAATCGATTTTATCACACTGGAGACAGATGGATCAACTACTATTAATGGACTAATTAACTATGGTGGGGTTTTGATAGATGCTAATAGTAATTGGATCTTGGGCTAATCAAAAGTAAAGTCACATTCCTCCTGCTATAGTTGAGATATATAGTATTTTTACAGGTTTTGAACTTTGTTGGAAAAGAGGTTTTAAAGTTGTGAAGGTCTATTGTGATTGTGTTTATGCTATATCAGTAATAACAAGGGACAATTATACTTATCACATATCATTGATGCTACTAGGAAATTAATTTGCAGGAATTGGTCTATAAATTTTAATTTTATGTTTAGGATAAACAATAGAGAGGCTGACTATTTAGCGAAGCTTTGTCATAGCATTCCTGCGGACTTTAATCCCTTTGAGGTGTCACCGTAGATAGGTTTCTGAGTCTCTGGGGTGGTGCCGTTTTGTTTTTGTTTTTGTTTTCTTCTTTTTTTTTTTTTTTTTCTGTTGTGTTCCCTGTGTTTTAGGTGTTTTTTTCTTCTATTTTGGCCTTTGCCGTTTGTTGCCTCTCTTTGGTTTCTGTTTTGAACGAAGGTTTATCCATTCATTATTAAAAAAAAAGTTGAAATGCTGTTAGATAAATTTAAGTGCAAACTGCAGATATTTAAAAGTAATCCGGAGAACTGGAGAATTGCGATGGCATTCGGTTATATAACTAATATCTTGTCTAAAACTAATATTCACTTTTGGCATATTTCAGCAAAATAAAAAAAATTAAATTTAATTAATTATGTTTTAAAATTTAATAAATTTTTACATATTTTTCTAATAAAAATAAAAATAATTACCTTTGATATGCTTTTTAACATTTAATAAAAATAGAAAAATAGAAATGAATATAGACAGCAAAATGTCACAAAAGTATGATCAAAATTAATAGTATCTTTACATGGATCACTACCAAATTTCAATTTTCTCCCTAACTTTATGAATCATCGCACGTTAATGCAAAGCCATCCATTTAGCTGAGATGAATCACGAATCGGAATAGCAGATGGGATAAAATAAAATTTTTCAGTATGCCATGCCGACCACAACCCTGAGCTCAGAAAGTACAATTTGGGGTGAAAATCGGGCACGTCCACCCACTGCGAATCTGGCACGAGCACTAACAAGAACGAGAAGACAAGACGGACTGAACAAAAGGCGGAGAGGGGATTCTGGTTTCACGTAGCTGCCAATGGCAGTAGCAATCATCACTAACCTGTTCCGCGTTCATACCCCTGCAACTCGACTCCGCAGCTCCAACTTGTGTTCCTTACGCCGTTCTACTCGCCGATACAGACGCGCTTCCTTTGCATATTCCCTGGCCTTTCTTGACACCAAATCCATCGTAATGCTTCTCCTTCCTCTTATTTCTAGCCAATTACAATAATATGCAATACCTATTGTTTTTTGGGCTAGGTAGGCTTGTGTTGAACAATTAAGGGAGTAAAGACGCTGTTTTTTTTTTTTGGAAATAAGTTTTATGTGCGGAGATGAGAATATTAAAATCTGCTTGTCCTTTTGTTTGGATGGAGACATGGAGTGAATGCTATGGAAATTAGAAAGAGATGAACTGAGAGCCAATGCCCAAGCAATAGGGTCATAGGGGTTTTGGAGCATTAAAGTCGTAAACGAAATCGGGCCGGGGGCCCTTCGTGTTGTGTACTTTAGTTCTGGCTGTAATAGTGAGTACAAGATGAATGCATAGTAACTGTTTGTTAAATTCTTCAGTTCTTGAATCACCCCCGGGGGGAGGGGGGAGAGGCTTTATCTTTTGAATATTTTCTCTTTTACCCACGTCGCCTTGATTGCCATTTCTCGGTCCAATTGGTGTTTAGGACCCCGTTAAAGTTGATAAGGAAGCCAACCGGATCAGGAACTTATTGGCTTGTCCCATATGTTACGACTCCTTGACGTGGACTGGTGATCCTGCTTTCTCCGTGTGAGTTGATTTGTTTAACTAATCTTCGACCTGTAAAACCATTGCCCGCTTACTGAAGATAGCAATTTATCTTTTATTCATTGTTTTCTTTCATGTGTGAGTGTGGATCTGTGGCTGTGATAAAAGATTTTCAGTACATAAATAGTCATGACATGCTTGCTGGACAGCTAACTGGTCTCGATTTCTTCCTGGATCGTTTAATACAGGGATTCTACCCCTGGATCTTGCTTGCAATGTAGCACGTGTATGAAGACGTTTGTAGGGAATGAAGCATATATTGATCTTACGACAGCAAATGGGGCTAAGAGTTATGGGGAACCGATGCCAGCTTCCACAGAGCTTTTCAGGCATGGAAGCTTTTTTCCCCTCTTGTATTTTTGAAGGTTGAACCTTTGATTGTCAGTCGGGCATGCTTAGGAGTCAGGACTGTTTGCTTGTAGCGGTAATAGAAACTGGAAATGTGGAATCTTTCCTTACCCTGACCTAATGTTAACATTTTTCTCCCTGTAAGCTGGCAAAATTTTATCCAATTATTCAGATAAAGGGCTTACCTTATCAGAATAATAATAAAAGTAGAATTTAGTTATCGAAGAGGTTGTTCTTGTGAAGAACTGACCACGAAACTAGCTTGCAACACTGATGCGCACTGGCTGTTCTTGTTCTTGTTCATTGTATCAGGGTGCCACTGGTATCATTTCTGTATGAGAGGGGTTGGCGTCAAGCTTTCTCTGTATGGGGTGGTTTCCCTGGTCCTGAGAAAGAGGTGAATAGAATTGTCTCTCTTCCTCAAGCATATATCCTCTTGGTTGATCCTGGTGTTTTTTTATGTGATGTTTCATTCATAAGATCTATCATTGCCTTGTCTGCAGTAAGTTTCTACTAATACTGAATACGCTGCCTTCCAACTGGAAAAAGAGTGATTGTAGAGAAGTTTCCAATTGACTGTTAAGTCTGGTACCTTTGAAGGAGCATTAGAAACTGTCAAAGTAGCCAATAAGATAAGGGTTTTTCAAAGAAGAAATTGCCCTCAGTTTGCTAACTACTTATGCAGCAGCTTATATAGGTTCAGCAAGATATATTCGAAAGCTTTTCTGGAAATGCCAAAAAAATGTCTTAGTCCTTGTGGCCCCATATTGGCATTCCTAGCCAAAATAAGCTCATTGACGTATGCAAATTCAGATTTTGCTTGTAAAATATGTGATGAAATTCTGAAATGCCAATGGCTTTAGTTCTTAAATCATGCCTCTCGTTTGTACTCCTGAAGCAATATTAGAATATCTTGTAATTGTGGACTTTCAAGTGCACTTCCCTTGACATAGTTCAATTTCCAATTATGCCTTCAATTGATTTGGACTGCAGTTTGAACTTATGAAGGATTTCTTGAGGCCAGTCATGGGAGGAAACATAATTGACGCAAGCTGTGCAAGTGGATTGTTTTCAAGATTATTTGCAAAGAGTGGATTGTTTTCCTCTGTAGTTGCTCTAGATTACTCTGAAAACATGTTGCAGCAATGCTACGAGTTCATTAAGCAGGAGGAGAATTTTCCAAAAGAGTACTCAGTTTATATTTTTAATCTAATCAGAATCCATGCTATTTAACTGTGAATTAAAGGACTACCCACCTCTCGATGGACTGCTTCTAAATTAAAACTTTAATTTATATTTCAGTCATATCTCATTAATATTTTGTTTTTAGGAACTTCATCTTGATGAGAGCAGATATATCTAGGCTTCCTTTTGTTTCTAGTTCTGTTGATGCTGTGCATGCTGGCGCTGCTATTCACTGTTGGCCTTCACCATCAGCAGCTGTAAGAAGATAATTATTCATTACTACAATGTTTCATTTGTTCAGGATAAATTTTCTACCTGACCCTTGTAATAGTTAATGCGCAGGCTATGCAGCCTGTATTCAAACAACATCCATTTATTGCATGATTTCGGTAATCTGATTTTTCAGGTGGCTGAAATAAGTCGAGTTTTGCGACCTGGAGGGGTCTTTGTTGCAACTACTTATATACTAGACGGGCCCTTTTCTTTTTTCCCATTTCTACGTGAACTGCGTCAGGTATATAATTTGTGTAGCTTGGGGCAGTTAACTGTGATTCAAACCCAACAAATTTGACATGCTCCATCATAACTGATAAACGGGGTGAGAAGGACGTAATTGAATATGTTCAGTTGCTTTTGTAGCTTTTTCATGCTTGGGATCTTCTAACTTTTATCTTCCAGTCTTGTACATCCTTTTACCTACATGCTCTGCAGCTTGCTTGTGATTTGGACATGGACGTGAATCATAAGGTAGTGTTTGATTGGAAGGGAGGGGAGGGATTTTGTCTCCCTCTCCTTGTTTGGCTTTAAAATTTCCCCTCCCCTTCCAACCCTCCCCTCCAAATTGGAGGGATTGGGAGGGAAGGGGTAAAATTTGCCACACCTTGACAAATATACTCTCCATGATAAGTCCAAAAAATGCAAATATGTTTCTCCAATATCTAAACACTAATAAAATGAGGGTAAAATTGTCCCTATATAGTTATTTTTTCTCCCTTCCTCCTAAACCAAATAAGATAACATGAAATCCCTCCTCTCCCTTTCCCTCCATTAAAATCCCTCCCTATCCCTCCCCTCCCCTCGAACTAAACACACTCAATTAATGTATTTTTTATGTGTTTTGGTTTTGATATAGGCAGTTATTATCTGTTTTGACGGGGCAATGTGTTTGTCTCTTATTGTAGACTCTGAAGCAAGTATCAGGCAGCTACATCTCTCTGTCTGAACGTGAACTCGAAGATCTCTGCAGGGGGTGTGGGCTGGTCAGATTTTCATGCATAAGAAATGGGCTTTTTGTGATGTTCTCTGCTGCAAAGCCCAGCTAAGGATTCTCAGTCGTCCTCCCTTCTGATTATGATTTGCTGAAGCTGTTTGTAGATGTGATGGCATGTCTTGAGAAGATACGACGTAGTCATCTGTTGGGAGCAAAAAGCGCCTGTTGGAAATGCTTTTTTAAAACACTTCATGCGTAAAGAAAGGATTGGGTCACGGCTTCTTTGGCTCTTCAACACTTTTTCAGAGGCGCTGGAAGAAGATTCAAGGAAAGCATATTGTGTGTGTGTGTGTGTGTGTGTGTGTGTGTGTGTGTGTGTGTTTTGTCTTTTATGAAAACACACCGGTGGAGAAAGCTTACATGGGGACTTGAGCCTCATTGACCTAAAAAAGAAGCAGGGCACCCACGTCACACTGGGCCTCTTTATAAAGGCGTATGCCGAGCGTCACGCTCCTGTCAGTTTATGTGTTCCTTGAGTTGTAAAGGCGTGTAGTGAGCTTCACACTCAACTCATAGTCCATGTATTCCTTGTGTTAAAAAATAGAGAACCGGATGCTATTCAGTTTCGTTACATTGTTAGTAAAAGGATTTTTTGTCCTGTATGGATGAGGATTATCCTTTGCTGATGGTGGAGATGAATTTTCTGTCCTTATTGCTTATACCCATCTTAGTTGGTTCCTCTTGAAAAGGATTTGTTTACCAGAGAAATCATCCTTGTTTGACACCAAAAAAAAAAAAAAAACGCGAAGACCAAGGCAGTGTCTTTTGTCGTTGTTTAAATTTCATGATGGTGAGAGTCGTTGGATTCACAATTTTTTTGGGAGTCCTTATTTGACAATTTTATACAGTTTACCTTGACGGGTTTCGCATATTTTGAATTATTGATAACGACTAACAAGTGCTTAAGTGAACCCAATTTTCTTTTTTGGGGGTAATAAGTGAACCCAAAACCTTGGTATTCTCAAAGTAGGACAGCGACTTTGTTTGGGTAATATTGAAAGGGCTCCGCCTGCTGGGCCTCTTCATTCTGTCAGACCCTCTGACAAATCAGGGGCCGTGTAGACCCAGAACCCTGACCTCATGATAGCCTGGCCTCCCACAATGATGTACACAAAGTGACTACCACGTAGGTGATAGATACTAGATAAGACAAAGGGTGATGAAGGGTCCCAGTCAAATTGACAAGTTTAAATCATAAAAAAAAAAAAGGAAAGAACTAAAACATTTATATTTTCTCGCACCCTCCTATTCTTATCCTGGGTTAGTGGGCTGCTTCGTACACAAGGGAAAGAATTGTTGTGGGGGATGGCCCACCCAAAGATTCACGTGTCGCCTTCCAATCCGCTTCCGGTTTCTGCTCCCCACATCATTGTGTTTTACTTCTCTTAGCCTTTTTGCCGCTATCACGGCGGGGAATCACATGCTTTTGCTCAAAGCTGCCTTCCCTAATTACTAGTATAATATTCATCACTTCTTTCCCTCAGCATCCTTCAATTTCCTCTCCATTATTTTGCCTTCCCTCACGCGTGTCAAGTTCTTGTAACTAATAGGCACGGATCAACTTTTAATGCTTTGTTTTTTGTAACTAACACGCGCATCAACTTTCAATCCTTTGTCGGATGCCTTCTGTTGTGTTTACCACCGTATATATCTTTTCAGGGCAGGGTTAATTGCATATCAGGGTTTTGACCCATAAAAAAAATTACATATCAGGGGGTTCCTTTCGCGTTAATTCCCGACAGGTTGTCATGGAGGCTTAAAATAAAATTAGAACGCCGTTATCTGTTTATCTTGCCATGTGTGGAACGTATGCCATCATTTAAGATAATCATTCGTTAGCTATACCAAGCGTGTGGATTCTTCCTACTCTTTTTCTTTCGGTGTTGGATATTTGATTTTTTCCTTCAATTGATGATTAAATTGGTTCTGTTTACAAAAATACAAGGGCCCACCAGCAGCAGCATGCATATGGACGTCGTATGAATACGATTAAATATACATGAGCAAATCATGGATATACATGAAAGAATAACTAGGAAATTAAAGAATCTCATGTAGGACTTTCAAGGAAGAAAAAATTACAATTATTAAAGTCCAATATATTTTAAAATTATTCTGCAAGCCTAAAATTTTTTTGCAAATATATTTTAAGAAAAAGATAAAATTGCCCTTAGTAAAAAAGTCACATATCAAGAATAATAAGTTTAGTTTTTTACAACTATATGAATTGACAACTCTAAATTCACATATTAATGAGTAATTATTTATTGAAAGTGAAATTTTTATTTAGAGTTAAAATATTTCTCTTGATTAACTTAATAAATTTACAACTTAAAATTTGAATATTTACATGTACAGGTTTATTTATTCACAGGTCAAAGTTCAAAATTTATGACTTTATATATTCAAAATTAAAATTTATAGTGATATTAAATTTAGAATTTTATAACTATATGTTTGCCGATTCATAACTTTAGGTTCACATATTAATAAGTAATTGTTTATTGATAATAAAATTTTTTTATCAAAATAACAATTTTAGATTTTTACAATTAGATGTTTACAAATTATCAACTTTATGTTCACATATAATAAATAATTTTTCATTGGCAGTGAATCTAAAATTCTTTATTTTTTTTTCAATAAAGATAATCGTGTCTTTTTCCCTTAAAACTTAGTTGCAAAAAAAATTCTTGAGCTTTTTATAATGTATTAAGATCAAAGTGTAATTTTTTTTTCTCTTGGAAGCCATAGATGAGAGTCTCCCAATAATTAGAGTCATGGGTCATGACCTGCCCTAGCCAGTAGCATGATCAAGCGTGCCCGGTCGAAGTTGGAGGATTCTCCATCCCAGTCACAGCGGCAATTGCTCATACCGCATTCTTCGCTACGCACTTACGGTCGTCATTGGGTAACATGTCCGCAGCCTATGTCAGTTGTCTTCACTCTCCAGGAAAGTCCTTTCCGTGTCCGTACACTACGTAGGCGAAGGAGCCACTAATCTTGCCACCATTTGCTGCTCTCCAAGCCAACAAAATTTGATTTTCTTCAATGACAAAGCACGTGCGACAACCAGGTCATAGGATAGATAGTAGCAATGCCCTCCCAACATTTCATCTCATCTCTTCTAGAGTTCTAGTTGATCATAGTTTCTTCTACGTTGCTTATATACACCAGTAACCAACTCCTCATGACAAAGACCGTAGAGAGTGTGGCATCATTGGTAACTACTCCCTCCACTTCATTCAATTTCACGTTTTGATTTTTTTTTAATAGTATGTGGGTTTAAGATTTCAATGAAGCAATATTTTTCTGTCGTCGTTTTTCCTTCTTTCGATATGGAAGAATAATGCTTGAAAAGATATCAAGTTATTAAGGGTAGTTTAGTCGAGTATATTACATTATACGGATTATTTAATAATTATCTTTTAGTAAGCAAAAATGTTATGAAACAAAGGAAATATAAGTAGTTTTTAAGAAAAAATTACATACCAATAAAATCTTTATTTTCATAAAAATATATATTGTTTTCCCTTCCACCCCTAATCTCAATTACTAATGCACTCTACAATGAGTGAGAAATACATTTATACAAAAAAAAAAATAGATTAATAAATATAAGGGATAAAATGAGAATTTTTTTTAACATACATTAATTAGCTTATATTTTGAATCATATTAATTGAGAAGAAATGTTTATATTTTGGATTAGAGGGAGTATGAATTAAAAAAACTACACACATTTAAGGACACATCAATTTCATGGAATAATGTGCGCACACAACTGCATACTTCAAAACTAGAAATCAACAAGAACCGTATTAAGCCATGAGGCAATAAATGAACGGAGAGTTATCCCTAGAACAAGAGAACACTTGCTTCTCCCGCTAAAATTATGAATAATTATAACCCAGATTGCAAAGCGACCAGAGAACAGGACAGTGACGCACCAAATTGAACCCATCAGACAAGAGGGGTGGCATGAATAAGGTAAGAACTGCCGACAAATTAAACACACCGACCACTCCTCCACGTCTTTGCCTAATTTAATCGACACCGATCCATTTGCAGCGGTCAGTGGCGGCATCACCAACCACCTCCCGCATTCTCTTCTTTCTCCACGTCACTCACTCAACATCCGCACGTACCTCCCGACATTCTCTATCATTCCAAATCAAACCAGGCTGTGCGTGCGTGCGTGTGTTGAGAGCTTTCAAAATGGTTATTCACTTGTTCCCAGATCAGTTAACTCCTTGTAGATCGTAATCATAATATCAACACAGCAATCACAACGAAATTAACATCAATTTACTTCGCTCCTGCCATTATATAATTTATACGCTAATATTAATGCCACAACAGTCATGGATAAAATTTTCAATTAAAGCCACTGAGGGAGGAAAATAAAAAATATCATCTGGTACTCGAGTGCAATATATAAATCAGGATATGTAAATGAGTAGGGGGAAGGGAAAAAAAAAAGGAAAAAGCGAAGGTATCACTAGAAATACAATTATCAACACAAACCACTAAAATGATGATATCAATTCATTGCATCATTGACTCTAGCTGGTAATAATACATTGGGTGAGCAGGATTCCTAATCATAAGAACAAGTCCGGGAATGAGGGGGGCTCCATTTCCGTGTTAGAGGCATTGATGTGGAGGGTCTTGTTGTGATGGTAAAAGCTGCAGGACGAAAGTGGATGCCTTAGAGCCGTCCAATAAGGCGTTCGGTTGATCTCTTGTTCCTCCTCCACTAGAAGTGGGAAGGCCAAAAGCTAGTGGCATTGATAGGCCACTCAGAAAACGGGGATTCAGCGGAGCATGGTTCGTACCCAGATCCAGAAGGTTGAGAGTTTGAGCTGAATCTCTCAGGAAGAGGGAGAGGGAGAGGTGCTTGGAAAGCGAAGCCCAGATCAGGTGGGAGTTGATGAGAAGCTGAGGAATTATGAGTGGTGGAGGGGGGGCCAATAAGATCAACCACATTCTTAGAAGGGGAAGCAGTGGTATTAATATTGGAAGACGACGATAAAGTTAAAGATGGGTTTTGGGGGTGAAGGAACCAGGGGGATGGTCGGAACGGGTGGAAACGGCTAGAATGGGATGCGGCTGAAGAGGGAGGAGCCGGGATACCGGTGAACTCTTGAACCATGGATCTGAAATTGGAGGTGTCCGTGGTCAGAACGGTCGTGGGAGCCCGCCGTGATGCTCTGCTTCGCTTCTTCGAGTTCCGTACTGCATTATCGTGCTCCCGGACAGCCTCTCGGCAACACCCTCCGACTGATTGATTACCAGCAGACAGGAATGACGACGATGACGACGATAACGGTAGGTCTGGCAGATGGGTGCAAGTAGGCTCGGAATCGGGAACTGAGGCGGCCGGGTGAGATTGGGAGAGAGAGTGGAAGTAATTAGGTGAAGGATCAAAGAAAGAAAGGTTGGGGTTTTGTCGAGGAGATTGAGAAACAAGTGAAAAGAAGGAATCAAAGTGGGTAGAACCATCGAAGGAGGCAGGACCTGGTGTGTAATGTTCAGCTCTTGAATCATATTCTTTCCCACCGCTGGAACACATGCTTCCAGAACAGCCAAAATATATAAAAACAAGGAGATGAGATTTAAAAGAGCAAGCGATAGAGAAGAATGAATCAGTGGGAGAGAGGCAGAGAGAGGTTAAAGGATGAAACTGGAAAGATGAGTAGAAGAGGGAATGGGTTTGCGTTTGATGGGGTGAATTAGGGCTTACAGTGTTACAGAGAAGAAAGGGAAGGAGAGGAAGAGGTATTTTAATGCTTGGACAAGAGGGATTCGAGAACCTGTAGAAGATGTAAAGGCTCCGGAAGGGAGAGACAACATATAGAGAGAGGGTTGGTAGGGTCGCCGCTGGAGTAGAGAGAAGACAGAAGAGCGAGCAGCTGCAAGCCTGCAATCGTGAGGAGACGACAAGGACGCTAGCGTGTAAGTCGGAGAGTTTACATGGACCCAGCCGTCAAGCCGAGACGGCGAGACCCACTCGAAACAAACAACAGCAACCAAAGTTTTTGAAGGTCGTAAACTTGTTTTCCCTCCTTCTTAACTTTTTTTTTTAATTTAAAATATATTTAAATATGTTAATAAATATTATAAAAAATTATTTAAAAATATATTTTTAATTCTCTAACTTTATATAAAATTTTAATTTAATTCTTTAATTTTATAAATTATCTTTTTAATCATTTAACCCTTATATCATTACTTTTAAATAATTATTTTTTTTGTCAATAATTATTATTTTAAAAAATTAAATTTGATATATTTAAAAATATTTTATTAATATTTAAAAGTTCATTATAACAATTTATTGAGATAAAACTAACAGTTTTAGAATCAAAAGAGTAAAAAAATATTTTATAAAATTAAAAAATTAAAATAAAATATTGTGTAAAATTAAATAATTAAAAATATACTTGAGCTTTCAATGAAATATATGAATATAAATAAAACTAGTAATTGAGGTCAAATTCAACGGGTCATCCCAAATAAGTCCAAAATAATTTAGGATTGAACGCAATAAAATAGTATTTTTATCTTTAAAAAATGTAAGATATTTTTTTAGGAGTTGAATGTTAAAAAATATAAGGCATTTTCAGTCTTTTAAAGTGTAATTATTATCTTTTTTTTAAAAGTATCCCTATTAATAATGACTTTATATTTATTATAAAGTGTTTAATAGAAATAAGTATGAAAAGATATGGTTAGTTTGAAAGTAGATAATAACTTTATCGGGGGATAAAATTTAGTTAAAAATACTTTATATTTTTAAATAAAAAGAATATCTTTTTCAATGTTTGAGCCAACTTGAATAGGTTAAAAAAATTTGAGTCAAGCCAATTGGATTTGAGCTTAGTTTGAATACCCAAATAAAAAAATTATATTTTAAAGAATATATAAAACATATAAAATATTAATTAATTCTTTTAGTTTCATGTAATTTTATACTAAGATATCATATATTTGAATATATTATTATATATTTATTAAAAAATTAAAAATATTTATAATTTCATATTTTATTGTTTTTAATCTATAAAATATTTTAAAATAATATTTAAAATACATTTTAATATTAATTTTTAAATTATAAGACCCAAATTTTTTTAAAAAAATGTTGAATCTTCTACATCATTTAAGCACAAAAAAAAATATTTTATATTTCTTATAAAATAAAAAAAATTAACTTCAAAGGAAAAGTTAAATTGAAATTAATTTTAAAAATAAAGGAAAATGAGAATTTAAATATTTGGGCTGGCTCAAAGTTAGAAGAGGTTTTGAGTAAGCTTGACTATTTGAGTTTTTTTTTAACTTCCAGCTCACTCAACTTGCCAAATTATCAACACTGTACAGAGTTGAAAAGAAATAGTTGTATAAAGCCTAAAATCTATATCTATAATTATTATAATTTGAGGATAATGGGACTCCACTTTTTTTTTAATTACAAAACCATGATAAAACTGTATAAAGAGATTAAAATTTAATTATATCCAAAACGACGAGACTTTATAATCGCAGTGGTAACGGAATTCCAATTTCATAACACGTGTGTGTGGGTGGTGCATGGAATCAAATGAGACTACAAAATTGTATATGCGACGAAGCGTGAAAGAGAAAGCGGAGATGGGCGTGCAAGCGACACGGCTCCCATGAAGTGGACGGAGAGCAATAGCGCCGCCGCCCTTCCTGCGATATCCTTGCGATGTGTGGGATGGCTTCTGATGGTGAAACCTTCGTAGGATGCTATAAAAGATTTTTTCTAAGGCCTTTCTCGTGCATACTACATCATAAGGAGTTTTGTCGTATTTTTAACCGCTAGATCATTTTATGTCCTAACCTATTGACAATTATGAAAAAATAATTATAATTTGAAAACGAGTCTTTGATTATGCTTTTAATTAATAGACGCAAAAGTTAGATGCCGATATATACACTTTTATGGCATTTTAATTAATTAAGTAGCCAATTTTTTTTTTAAACACATGGAAACACATTATACGCAGGGGATACAGGAATGGGAATGGAGGAGGTACCTATTCCCCATTCTTTTCGGAATAAATTACCCTACTAGTCAAAAAAATGTGACTTAAATTTTTGAAAATTTAAGAATGTGACCATTCACATTAATATATAAGAGATTTATTATTGATATGCAAGTGTTTATCATTAAAAATTTAAAAATATATTAGAGATTTATTATTGATATACAATAATAATTATCAATAAATATAATAAATTAATTATAATATAAAATATAATAAATATTAAATCGTTTACTTTATTTGAGCGTATAACATAGGTTACATATACAAAAATCCCTTCTTTCCCCAAGTGATTCTCTTCATGTATGTATTAATTACATTCTTTTTTCACTTGAGGACGAGGGGTCAAGGCCTAGTTATTTTCTTCTTCGTGTGAAGATTTTGGCATGTGCGTGCACGTGAAAGGTTATATATAAATCATCCTAACATCTCTATTTTCATTATATTTATTGTTTTAGCCAAAAAAATGCTTCATATAAACTTTCCAAGTAATATATATATATATATATATATATATTAATGACATTTTCCCTGTTTTACTCGTAACCATGTGCTCGGGGACAAATGCAAAGGGGGCAAGGGGCGCTGGTCCTCCTACAATTTCACTACCCTTGAGAATTTTTTTTTTTAATTTTACTAGTTAAAATTGTGAAAATTAGTGTTTCACTCCATATTTTAATTAGTTTTCAATGTTGCCCCTCATGTGCCAGTTTTTGAATTCAGCACTGCATGTGCTGCTAGTCTCTTGCATGGTCCCAGGGCCAATAAAACACGAAGTAAACAGGGAGTACGTTTAGAGCCATTTAGCCATATATTCTTTTCATTTATAAATATAAGACATTTTTAATTGAATCTCTTCTCTTAATAAAGTAATTACATAATTTTAAATTAATTCTATCTTTTTATATTTATTTTTATTAAATATCTCATAATAAATATAAAATCATTGTTAATAGAGTTTTTTTTTTTAAAAAAAGATAATAATTATACTTTAAAAGATTTATATTTTTAAACATCTAACTTTATAAAAAATGAATTTGAATTCAATACCTGTAGCATTTACAGGCATTCAATACCTATCCACACGTGTCACCATCCTATGCTTTCAAGCAAGTCAATGATTTTAAAAAGTTTTGAACAGCCATACGTGAGAAACATTGAATCCTCCTCTCTTAATCAGCATTGTATTGTCATTATTTGCCTTATTTCTTGCCTGAAATATTGGGCGCCTGTAATTGCAGCTTCGGCAATGTGGTGCAGGTGTTGACGGTGAAGCTTATCCTGGAAGACAGGCCGCTTTGGGAGTTCACTACTTCGCTTACCCGATGAAGGTTTCCTACCTGTTGTAGAAGTGTTGATGTTTTGCTTTGCCATTGAGTCAGTTGCATAACCCCTCGTGGGCCGACGAGATTGCCTTATTGGCAATGAAGAGCTCTCAGCGCTTATGAAAAGTGGTGGCGAGGAGAAATGAATTTCCCAGTGGACACAGATTGTGGATGCCGACGATGAAAACTCCAAGTCATGTGAAACCAAAGTCAAAGGTCCACCAGTCAAGCAACAATGGGTCGGAGAAGTGGCAGTAGTGATCAGATTACATTAAAATGAACTGAGTCTTCATGGATACTCTGTTCATCATTGGCTCTAATTTTCAAGAATGTTATTTAAGAGAGGACGTAAGGTGTTTCACGCACATGGCTGTGCAAGGCTTCTTAAAATCATTGATGTGCTTGAAAACATAAGATGATGACACGCGTAGAAAGGTATTGAATGCCTGTGATAGGTGTTGAATTCAAATTGTCAAAAATATTTTACGTTTTTAAATTAAAAAAGTACTTAAATTTTCATTTTTTTATTTTAAGTATTCTTAAATTAGCATTAAATGATTTTAAATGACAAATGTAATGAAAGCGGTAACATTCAAGAATTGGCCCCGTGTGTGATGAAGTTGGGAACCGGGCGGGTCAGATGAACGATGATTTCCAGGCAATAATGGATCCGCGCTTCTTCCTGGTAGCGTTTTCTGAGACGAGCTGATCAGCGATTGTAACTTGCGTTGTGCGGGTTTGATATGAGGGGGTTGAAAGAAATAATATAGATAACAATATATTGAACATGTCCAGAAAATATAAAGAATGTCCTATAATATGTAACTGGAATACATTGAATTATCAGTAAAAAAAAAAAAGTCTTAAATTCTAAATTTGAAGATGGAAGTATATATTAATCAAATCGCGCTTGATAGGAGCCATATTTAAAGTTGGGTGGTTTAATTTCCACAAATTTCTTTTGTTTGATGGGAACTAACATTTTACAGGGGGTAGACCAAAAAAGTATATCTCATATAATTCACATGCACGTGTATTGTTTGGAATTTTAAGGGTGTGTTTGTTTTCTATTTCTAAAAATTTCTTCTTATTTTTCAAAATAGAAAAATTTAAAAACTTGTTTGGATTAGCATTTTTTATTTAATTATTTTTAATTATTTTATTTCTTTAAAAACAAAAATAGAAAAAAATCAAGTTATTTTCATTTTACTTTTAAAATACACCATATTTAATTATTAAAAATTACAATTATCTTAACCAATCTCTATAAAAAAAATCACCACCATTAATATAAGCAAATGGATTTTTATTGTATTTTCTTTGGAAAAACAATCATAAAAACTATATCATAAAACAATTTTTTTTAAAAAAAATAGAAGTAGAAACTAAACAGGTCCGGAATGACTACTTGTGTGGCGAAATTTCTGTAAGTGTTATTTAGTCTTGGATTGTTTTCCGAATCGCATCCACGCCGCTGCTGTTCCCATGTTCACACCAATTGAAATAGTATTTGTTAAAGCCGGGAAGCCATCTTATTCCAAAATGTTACAATCAGCAAACGCAAAAATGTTGGCTCTGGAGATGGCTATACCGTATACCCACTGCCAAGTGCTGTCACAAGTTGTCACTGACGACCCTGAATGTTTAATTCTGTTTCTCTATTACGG